TTTGTGGGAGATGTACCAGAAGAAATGGTCCGATCTCTACCGTCTTCATAATAGATCCGGTGTTCAGATGTGCCAAGTCTAAATAGAATCGAATATTAATTTCGCATTTTATAAGCTTAATGGATATTCAAAATTTCGACCTTTTGTGGGGGAGGTACCAGAAGGAGAGGACCAATATATTCCGTCTTAATATCAGATCTTGGGTTCATAAAAATATTAGGATGTGTGAAATTTGAAGACAATTGGACTCTTACATCATATTTTATATGAGTTATAATTATTCAAAATGTTGACCCTTTGTGGGAGAACATAATAGAGTGGACTGATATTATCCATTTTCGCACCTGACCTAGCATTGACGCAGATATAGGGATTTCCAAAATTGGGGCAAAACCGGATTATCGTTTCTCTTTCTGTGCAGAAAATATATTTTTTTGAAAATTTCGACCATATGTGGAGGAGGTACCAGAAGGAGTGGACCGATGTATCCCATCTTAACACCAGATCTTGGGTTAATATAAATATTGGGTTGTGTGTAATTTGAAGATAATCGGACTCTTAGGATTTGTAAAGTTGGAGCAAAATCGGATTATCGTTCCTGTTTTTGTGCAGAAAATATATTTTTTGAAAATTTCGACCTTTTGTGGGGAGGGTACCAAAAGGAGTGGACCGATATTGCCCATCTCCGAAATCGATATAAGTTTGACAAAAATATTGCGATGTACCAAGTTTGGACCGAATCGGATGCTCCCTTCGAGAGTTATAGTGCGCACCAGCCAGCCGAACAGACAGACGGACGGATGGACATCGCTAGATCGGCTCCAAATGTCCTGAAATGGATTTGGTCCAACGAGACCTAGGGTCTAAAACCGTTATTTCGACCGTATCAAATGATATACACCATCTCTAGCCATATGGCTAAGTGTATAACAATTTGGAAGAAGGTAACTTGCACCCCTAACAGCAGACCAAGCATGTAACCACATTCTATAGAAGAAAAAAATGGATCAAAGAATTTTTTTTCAAAGCACCATGCCATTTTCCATAGCAAAATTATATCATATAAGAAGCACGTTTATAAGAATTGCTAGAATGGTATTTGCACTTCACTGTATAACAAACTATTATTCGTTATGAAAAAAATAAGTATGTATAGAGGAACTAAATAACAGGACATAAATACTGAATAAGAAACTATACACACAATGTGGCGAAAAAAATAGTTGTAAAGAGAATGGTGTGAAACTAACAAAAAAGTAATGGGACATAAAATACATACCAGCTAAATGATTAGTTAAAAATTTAGTTTAGCCACCAGCGAAAATTTCTTTGTACGAGATAGTGCGTTATTCAGAATTTTATTTTACTTTCAAAACTCCATTTGTATTATATTATATAAAAATATTCCAATATTTTATCGGAGTATGTTCTTGTGGACATTTTTTGAATGTTTTTATAGAAATACTATTGTTTTTGGGGAACTTTGAGCGGTGTCCGGTAATAGTAAATAACCCTAATTAAATTTGAGATTTTTCTATTAATTTCTTGTTTGGTTTGTCCCTGTTGCAAACCAAAATCTACCTGTGTGCTTTAGCCACACTAATTAGGATATGCTTGGTACTTTAAAACAAGTAATTATTCTTATATTTTTAATCGACCTTTGGCCAAACCACGTAAAACTTAGCGTAGGAAAGGTTGTTGTTTATGTATGCATTTTAAAAAACGCAATACATTCGTTAGCTAGAAATATTTTCTTTGACATTTAAAAGTTTTTAATTCTGAGCAGAATTTCAAATTTATGGAACTACCGCTGTTAGGATCCATGAAATTGGCTAAAAAATGTTAATGCCGATTCGTGTGATTTGCCTCAATTATAATAATTATGCTACTTTAGCCCATTTCTGTTCGATTGTTCCAAGAGTATAAACACTCTTTTTCAAAAAAAAAAGGATATGAAAAGTGTAAAATTTTAAACAAATTTTTGTGTAGGCAGCAAGAGTCATCTATCAGTAATTAAAACAAATTCAACCATAAAAATATCCCCCTGCCCCCTAAAAAATACCCCCTCCCCCTCGATGGTAAAGGTACATTTCTGAAACCCATATTTTTGGATACTACTTAAATTAATTTTAAAAAATAACAAATGGAAAAACTAATGATGAGGAATTATTGCCAATATGTGTAACCGTTGCGCTAAATATAAAAAGCATGGTTTGCATACACAAGCTTGACTTTACATATGTGTAATGTTGACTTTTCGAAATTTGTGCATTGGTTTTTGGAAAAAACAAAAAAGAATGTACAATTTTTCTGAGTAATTTTTTGATATCAGTGCGCCCAAACTACACTAAAGAAGTAAATTTTTTCAAAAGCAAAAATTAAATCTCTGAACGAAATGGGTTAAAGGTAAAAAATTAACTATGACTCAATATTTGATAGGCCCAGAAGATTTGAATCACTTTAATCGCTAAAATAAAGTCGAATTCACTGCCCAAAATGTCAATCATTTTATTCGGTGCTATTGTGCTAAAATAGTGCTTCCGATTTAGAGGAATCCGATATAGGTTCAAAAGATTCCAAACACTTTTTAATTGCTAAAGTAAAGTCGAATTCATTGCCCAAATTGGCAATAATTTTTAATTGAAGAAAACGCTTTTATGCAGTGTCATGGTACTAAAATAGTGATTCCGATTTAGTGGAAAGTAAGATGAACAATACACCTGGCCAGGCAACCTGCCACCCACTTAATAGCCATGACCTTATTTTAACTACCATTTGTTTTGATTGATGCCAAATGCCCTTGTAGGAAAATGTTGCTCATAAGAATAGAGTATCACAATTGGATTCGTTAATTCAATTTCGTAGCAAAGCGGACCGTGCCTGATTTACTTCAACTCAAAAATTTTATGATTATTTGTTCATCATGCTACAGAGAATTTGTCCGTAATTTTCACAAAATATGGGAGTTCAATCTTGCATTTCTTGTTTACATAAATTTCCAATTTGAACAAAAAAATTCTTCTGCTTTACCGGACAAAGGAACACAGCTCTTAAACACTTTAAACTTATAATTGTAAAAAATTATTTCGAATGTTCGAATGGGTAATCAATCTGTAGTCATTATATATTGTTTGGCTAGCTTAGGGAATAAAGCTCAATGTTACCTCCTTTCACAGATTAGGCACAGAAAAAAACCTGAAAAACCTGCATGTCTTTGGGGTAGATGTTAGTGATTGCTCAACACAGATCCTTTCACAGATTAGGCACAGAACAAAACCTGAGACAAGCCTTAAAAATTCCTGAAAAATACGCAACATCGACTCAGATGCTATTTGTAACACTGCAGTTAGGGTACAATCGGGACCAAGGGACTTACAGGGTTGAAAGTTGCTGATCGTCCATTTAAGCTTGGAGTAATTTGGTGTCCTTTATATGAGCCTCACATGTTGCCCTGCATGTCTTGGGGGTAGATGTTAGTGATTGCTCAACATCACTTTCACTCTTCTAATCAGGGAAGCGAATACCCAATAGAACGTCAAAGTCTCCAGACCAGAGTTAGGCCATTTACCACCAATTCGTTTTATACTGCTTATTGGTTTGGGGTCCTTAGGAAGTATTTTACGAATTTCACCTCAGTCTGTCTTCTTATACTGCTAATGATTTCTGCAGCTTCGCAGGTAGCCTCTTGAAAAGATATCGTCTTGGAATCTAAAAAGAGCAATAGCCAGATAAGAGCGGTATCTTCCGAGAGTAATGTGCCGATAACATTTACCCTTACACTATTTTAAAAAGTTGTGTGTTAACCTTATCGCACATTTGGAGATTATTAATTTTCTGTCGCTGCTATCTCAGTAAAAGTGATGGTCACTTGCATTACATCACGGACACATATTGTGTATACTCTATTAGTTCCAGAATATCTTTGTATTGCCATTACTACAAAATACTGGATGAAGTTAGTAATGGTGATGTTCTCTCAACAGAAATTAGAAAGAAGTAACTAATTTATAATCCTTTTTTCAACTATACAGTTTCTTTACCCAATTTGTAGGGACGAACCCCGTGTTGTCATTCAGTCGGGAGACCCTTTCATTGAGTAGATAGGATTTCTGGACTAAGGCAATATCGATGTTTAACGTCGAGAGTGTTTGGTTGATTACGGCAACCGCTATCTTGCGATGATACAAATTAATCTGCACCTAGCTCCGCCCAGACTTCTTACCACCTATTGCAGGAATTCAGGATGCACCAGCTTCTTGTACTAGGTCCAACATTATCAAGTCACCGAGTCCGTCATCTTCCAGAGAAGTTATCCCTTGATTAAGATGGATGCTTGGATTGTCGCACTTTCTCTACCATACTCAAATTTGTTAAAGTGATATTCTGCTCGCCGAAAACAGTTTTATTTGTGTTTCTTTATTAGATTTTCACCGAACACGGATTTATTTTTCAAAGTAAATTAATTAAATTCAAATATTCGTAATTGCATAGTACTTGTTTGTTTGTTTTTTTTTTTTTCTTGAAATCCAAACATATCTATTTTTTTTTAAATATTCCTGCCGTTATATATTAAATTAACAAATAACTGTTTAATTAGTTACCCTTTTTGATACTGCGTAATACTTTGCAGACCCAAAGAAAAAATGGAGTATTTTGCATCCATTAAATATAACTGAAAATGTTCAATATATATATAATTTTTTTCTAAATATTTTAACATTTGTATTGAATGACACTCGGGGATCTGATTAAATATAAAATGGCATAAAATGTTGGAAGCATTTACTTCATTCAGCCTAGTTCAAAGAAGGAATTAGGACAATTCAATACAAATATAACAGCGATTTATTTATATATTAATGAAAAAACTTGACAAACTATAAATGCTTTTGGGTGACTTCACTGTAAATATATATAGCACAAGCATACATAATTTAAAATTATATACGTATTTTTCATACCGTTTTTATCGCATAAAAGAATTTAATTTTCTTTAACAGCAAAATATCTTTTGGCAAGCAATAACACAAGCGGTGTTTTTGGTTCAAATACAAGTCATATTGTTGGCAGTGGTCCTGGTAATATAAATTTATCAACATCTTCAAAATGGCTTCTATCGCCGACGTTGGAGGTAAATGAAGAAAGAACATCCCTTATAACCACTTTGAAAACAGACTATGATGGACAACCTCTACAACAAGATGTCTCTTCAACAATAAATACCACTGGTACATCAATTGCTTTTGTAAAACTTGCTCTTGACGACCGAAATAAATATGAAAAATTACGTAGCAACGAAATGGTGACCTCGGATGACTCCGATTCGGAATTCTTCCAAGAAAATTGCACTGCTAGTTGCGGTACCTCCAAAAAAGCAATCTTTAAACAAATTGTCACAAACAACATTCCAGATACAATTCATAAAATTCATCAGGCAGCATATCATAAGGTAGACAAAACGCACATTAAAGTTCCGATTGTAAAAAAACTGAAAGAGAAAACAACAACAAAGAGACCGTCATCAGCAGCTCACCAAGCTGCTCAGGAAGTAAATGCAGTTTTGGAAGAACATGAAAAACAGCAAAAGCAAGCCGAAATGATGGAAACTATTGTCGATGATATAAGTAAATGTAATGATGACGCTGACTCCATTGGTTCCGCTTCCGATCTAAGGACAGAAGATGACTTCTTCGATGAGAATCATGTAAGTCATATATCCCGAAATAATTGTAAATTAAAACGACCCGATTTGGACGGCGTAAGCGAAAGCGTGAAGACTTGCAGCTCATCCGCATACCATGCCGAATGTGAATCGGTAACGACACACGAAGATGATAGTAGCCGCGTAGTGGTAAAAGTGCGTATGCGAAAAAAAGACAGAAACTCTTGTGCTGCTTCCGCAAATGAAGCCTTAGCTGTTGCATCTGCCCTTTCGGACTTGAGCTGTGAACAAGATGAACATCCTTCAGAATTCCTCAATGCGTTTGGCGATAAACCTCTACTTTTGGATGACGAATTAGACTATGGCTCAGAGGAGACAGACTCTGCCTCCAAATCTATACCAAACGCTCACATCGATACCAACATAAATACATTCGAAGAAAGTAACGCTCTTAAAATTGTTGTTAATTGCAAAGACCAAGACGAACTAGATGTTTTTGCAATGGCACCGTTCAATAAAAAAGAAATTGGGAATATCAAAAAGAAACTACATGGCAAATATAGCTCCAGGAAAAAATCTATTGACACAGTTGCAGGGAATATTCCGGACTCAAGTACGGAAATGTGGACATCGACGCCCATTAAATGTTTTGTTAAAACAAGTGAAAAAGATGGTCCAACCATTGTTTCGGGCCCAGACCAAGTTTTAGACAATTTTAATGAACCTGTCTTTAACCCTTTCGAATATGTTGATAACAAACAACGTAGTAACAACATTCATAAGGAAGTACAAAGCTCATCCCTTTACGGAACAGTAAAAGTCATTTCAAATAATCCTGTTGAACCCTTGAACTCGGTATGCCCTAAAAGCAATTTTTTTGAATCGGATCCATTCATCAGAAGTGCAGAAGAGTGTAGCAAAAAGAAAAATATGAATCTATACAATCCTAAAGTAAATATCTATAAAAGTTCTAATACCACTAAAGAAGTCGGAACGGATCCAACAGCTCAACTTGTAACTGTTAATTCTTCCATTATTATAAATAAAACACCAGAACCATATAACGTGTCTAAGGAGGGCAGCATTGTTACCAGGGCTCTAGCACCACATAGTGGGTTGCCTGTAAATGAGAAAAAAGATCCACCTCCATACGCCAATGTGCCTATATTCCAACCAAATAAGTCTTCACATGTTGAGCTTCCACAAAGGCAAACTGTGGTAAATAGTTCCTTAGGTACGCCAGAACTCCTAACGGGTTGTACTCCATATCCATTGGAAACATGCTATAATGATGATCAAACTATTCTCCCTATAGCAGACAAAACGTTGGTGCAAGTTACAGAAGAACGTATGTCAGGTTTGTTACCAAACCAAGAAGAAGCGATTTTTTCTCCATCTAACGATATTGCTTATGTTGACCCACGGGAATTAAAAAGTTGTACCATTGTTACTACAGCCACATTGCCGGCGACAAAGCAAAATGAGAAAAAGTCTAATTTTGTTGCAAGAACTGTGCCTACAAAATTTTACAAAAAGGTTTCTTCCGATTATTTACATTCGAGTTTTAACACGAAAGATTCAGCTTCAAACGTAAGCGTTATTTCTTCAAAGCAAAAGCATCAGCGTTCTCCAAAGTATAAAGCACATACCAATGAGTGTGACGATGATGGAACAGGGAACATAATTCCAAACATCACTGCAAATTTACAAAAGAATACGCTTTCTTCTTCAGCTATTCCCTTTAATCCAGCTTCAAATTCGGCTAAGACGGGCTTTAGTAATATGTCATTTGAGGATTTTCCATCTGATAATGAAACAGAAGGAACGCCCACAAAAACTGCCCTGCCATTTGAAGTTCTGCGCCAAAACAAAATTTCTCTGGATGCAGACAAAAAATTTGGTTCTCTAAAGCGACGTAGTAATTTGTTTTCCTAGAAAACTGCTACATGTTTCAGCTTATGATCACAGAAACCCTCATAAAATCTAAAAACACAAACATTAGATATAACATTCCAAACGGCCTTAATACCATTGCATACTTTAACATTTTCTGTTGATCTTAATATATATATATAAAAACATGCTCATTGTTGAAAATATGGAAAAGGATGTACGTTTCCGTAAAAGCTTAAACGAGTGCAACTCTTTAAATGTTTATTTATTTTTATACGATCTGGTATTGTAGTAAGAAACAAGCTGACTTGCTTCATACAGCAAATTATGAGTATGTTTCCTAAAAGAAGCAATATAAAATGTAGCCACAGTGCTGACATTCTGTTAAAAAAATACTTATTTGTCGACTTAGGGGAAGTAAATTATAGAAACAATATGCTACGCTCTAGCAACAAATCTTACCATAAATTTCTACACAAAATATTTATAAAAACTTGGAATTTATAACATTAGCAGCTCTATATAAATCATTTAAACTTTATCATTAATATAAATTATATTATCACATCATGTTGTGGTGTAATATGTACCCATTACGACCTAATCGCTAACTAAAATTCTGCGAAGTTAGGCTAAAGAAGCCTGGCACCTTTTGATGGAATTTAATAAAGTTATTTTTCTTGTATCGTGTCCTTGCGGTCTTCAATAATAAATACGCTAAATAATGAGGGCGTATAAAAAAAGATGGAAAGGTCGACCAAAAATATTTTTTATTCATGCTTTTATTTATACAGAGATAACAGAGTAATTATCTCACATTTTATTATTGAATTTAACAACACATATAGTATATTATTTATCATTGTCTAAGCATTATAAATGTAACGTTGTTTTGACACATTTGTTTCGTTTATGTTAATTAAAACTCAAATAAATATTATGTTTAACCAAAACTGAGAATATTTAATGTGGTCAGAAATAACCTTGTTTACTTCAGGTTTGTACAAACATACATACAGAATATTTTGCTATAGCAAATCTTTACCGACATTTTAACCTAAACCTTACCAAATACTTGTGTTAAGAATGTCTAGAAATGCACTGCATTTGGCAACGTAATTAACTATAAATTAGAATCACTTAATTTTGAATTTCATCTTCTCGATATTATTCCTTAAACTATTGTACAGAATTAAGTCCACATTTAGATTAAGAAATGTTGACTGACGCAAATCACGATTAGCTGAAATAAGAAGCAAGAAAACTTTAAATGAAAAAATTAATTCTTATTTCAGTTGGAGGTAAATCCTACCGTTTTTCATAGTGTGAAATTAGCTTAACGCGCACGTATTCAAAACTTATGTTCCGACGGAAGCAAAAGTTAACTTGTGTAATGTAAGTAAGAATTCTTAATATTTGCACTTCCTTTCCAGAAGTTAATACACGGAAGGAGGCAAGAAAACTTGTATAATGTCAACATTTAATATTGTGCCTGCGTATTAGAAATTTGGTAACAAATTGTGATATAGGGATCTGCTTACACTTGTACGACGAATGGTTTATATGTTCGAATATCTGCTTATGAAACACATTCTTTATTCTTGTGTCAAGCTACTATATATGATCGAAATACAAATCAATAAACTTCATTATTGTAATGAATTTAATTTATGTTTTGTTGAAGACATTGCGTTTTTAGCACCTACCCAGCCAAAGATGTTTTTGAATCTCTAAGCAAATTAAATGGCACAAGTTGAAATGTCTTCGACTTTTGATATGGGTACCATAAATATTTGTTGATAACGCAGATTATTATTCAAATTGATGAAACACTACTTTATATAGAAAAACTTCACATTAACCTTGCTGGATAGATAGGAATTGGCCTTTGAATTATAAATTTGGCTTCAGTAGCAACATCATGAAATCGAATTTGTTTATGTCAAAACGCTCTTCCGGTTGCAACATTAAAGAACATTTTTAATAATTAAATTATAGTATTTTAAGATATTTTGTTAACCGAAATTTATCGTATTCCTAAATAAAGTTTTTTTTTTAGACAGATTTCGTCAATCAATATATCTTTTAAAAAAAATTAACAATATGAAAACAACAACGCAAAAAATCAATCGATATACATTTATTACATGTCTAACTGTTCCATATTCTTCTCATTCACGGAATACAATAATCTAAAAGCTTCACCTCTATTTTTATAACAAAATCATCGGCTTTTACTATACTATATACGTAATATTTCCAGCAGACACTAATTATTACATTCCTACTTTTTAGTCACTTTATGTGCAAGGAATCACTTACTTCAAGTAACAGTACTTCTGAAAACATTTAATTGGCGAGTTTTTGGCTACTGCGCGGTTTTGCAAAAAGCATAACTTCTCCTTTTTATTACTGTCTCAAAAAGATGTACAAATAATTATAATAATACTGCGCAAATACAACATTGAAACACGATTATTCTTCTAATGGCGTTTATAGCCTAATATGTACAATCATATGATTCAATTGACCGAAAGGTGTGTTGCAAAGGGTGTTTAAAATATATAAAGTAATAATTTCTTTAAGAGCGCCAATGCCGGTGTAAAGAGAAATATATTTGTGCGGGAATAAAAAATGTCAACTTTGTGAATTGAAGTGAAAATGTTTAAATCAGTAACATAGCGAATGTCAACAGATGCGCATGAATAACAAATTTCTTAGAAGCAGTTGGTGTGATGGGATCATGGTGTTTCAATTTTATTTGTACAAAAAACATTCGAATTTGCTCAAGGTAAGTATGCATATAATGCAATTGTTAATTTAGTTGATTTAGAGGAGATTTGAAATTAAAACCACTATTGGCCGCATTAGAGTTTTAGTTAAATAAAAAGGAAGTAAGGTATCTTGTAAATTTGAAGCTGAAACATTATCTTTAATATTGAGACTGGAGCTATTATCTATTTTGTGTCGTAGATTTTCCAACTCTAACACAAATATATGGGTTCCAATACTTCTATGTCTTCTTATGACGACATCTAATCAAATTCATAAATAAGAATATCCAAATAAATATGAAAAATTACGTAGCAACGAAATGGTTACCTCGGACGACTCCGATTCAGAATTCTTCCAAGAAAATTGCACTGCTAGTTGCGGTACCTCCAAAAAAGCAATCTTTAAACAAATTGTCACAAACAACATTCCAGATACAATTCATAAAATTCATCAGGCAGCATATCATAAGGTAGACAAAACGCACATTAAAGTTCCGATTGTAAAAAAACTGAAAGAGAAAACAACAACAAAGAGACCGTCATCAGCAGCTCACCAAGCTGCTCAGGAAGTAAATGCAGTTTTGGAAGAACATGAAAAACAGCAAAAGCAAGCCGAAATGATGGAAACTATTGTCGATGATATAAGTAAATGTAATGATGACGCTGACTCCATTGGTTCCGCTTCCGATCTAAGGACAGAAGATGACTTCTTCGATGAGAATCATGTAAGTCATATATCCCGAAATAATTGTAAATTAAAACGACCCGATTTGGACGGCGTAAGCGAAAGCGTGAAGACTTGCAGCTCATCCGCATACCATGCCGAATGTGAATCGGTAACGACACACGAAGATGATAGTAGCCGCGTAGTGGTAAAAGTGCGTATGCGAAAAAAAGACAGAAACTCTTGTGCTGCTTCCGCAAATGAAGCCTTAGCTGTTGCATCTGCCCTTTCGGACTTGAGCTGTGAACAAGATGAACATCCTTCAGAATTCCTCAATGCGTTTGGCGATAAACCTCTACTTTTGGATGACGAATTAGACTATGGCTCAGAGGAGACAGACTCTGCCTCCAAATCTATACCAAACGCTCACATCGATACCAACATAAATACATTCGAAGAAAGTAACGCTCTTAAAATTGTTGTTAATTGCAAAGACCAAGACGAACTAGATGTTTTTGCAATGGCACCGTTCAATAAAAAAGAAATTGGGAATATCAAAAAGAAACTACATGGCAAATATAGCTCCAGGAAAAAATCTATTGACACAGTTGCAGGGAATATTCCGGACTCAAGTACGGAAATGTGGACATCGACGCCCATTAAATGTTTTGTTAAAACAAGTGAAAAAGATGGTCCAACCATTGTTTCGGGCCCAGACCAAGTTTTAGACAATTTTAATGAACCTGTCTTTAACCCTTTCGAATATGTTGATAACAAACAACGTAGTAACAACATTCATAAGGAAGTACAAAGCTCATCTCTTTACGGAACAGTAAAAGTCATTTCAAATAATCCTGTTGAACCCTTGAACTCGGTATGCCCTAAAAGCAATTTTTTTGAATCGGATCCATTCATCAGAAGTGCAGAAGAGTGTAGCAAAAAGAAAAATATGAATCTATACAATCCTAAAGTAAATATCTATAAAAGTTCTAATACCACTAAAGAAGTCGGAACGGATCCAACAGCTCAACTTGTAACTGCTAACTCTTCCATTATTATAAATAAAACACCGGAACCATATAACGTGTCTAAGGAGGGCAGCATTGTTACCAGGGCTCTAGCACCACATAGTGGGTTGCCTGTAAATGAGAAAAAAGATCCACCTCCATACGCCAATGTGCCTATATTCCAACCAAATAAGTCTTCACATGTTGAGCTTCCACAAAGGCAAACTGTGGTAAATAGTTCCTTAGGTACGCCAGAACTCCTAACGGGTTGTACTCCATATCCATTGGAAACATGCTATAATGATGATCAAACTATTCTCCCTATAGCAGACAAAACGTTGGTGCAAGTTACAGAAGAACGTATGTCAGGTTTGTTACCAAACCAAGAAGAAGCGATTTTTTCTCCATCTAACGATATTGCTTATGTTGACCCACGGGAATTAAAAAGTTGTACCATTGTTACTACAGCCACATTGCCGGCGACAAAGCAAAATGAGAAAAAGTCTAATTTTGTTGCAAGAACTGTGCCTACAAAATTTTACAAAAAGGTTTCTTCCGATTATTTACATTCGAGTTTTAATACGAAAGATTCAGCTTCAAACGTAAGCGTTATTTCTTCAAAGCAAAAGCATCAGCGTTCTCCAAAGTATAAAGCACATACCAATGAGTGTGACGATGATGGAACAGGGAACATAATTCCAAACATCACTGCAAATTTACAAAAGAATACGCTTTCTTCTTCAGCTATTCCCTTTAATCCAGCTTCAAATTCGGCTAAGACGGGCTTTAGTAATATGTCATTTGAGGATTTTCCATCTGATAATGAAACAGAAGGAACGCCCACAAAAACTGCCCTGCCATTTGAAGTTCTGCGCCAAAACAAAATTTCTCTGGATGCAGACAAAAAATTTGGTTCTCTAAAGCGACGTAGTAATTTGTTTTCCTAGAAAACTGCTACATGTTTCAGCTTATGATCACAGAAACCCTCATAAAATCTAAAAACACAAACATTAGATATAACATTCCAAACGGCCTTAATACCATTGCATACTTTAACATTTTCTGTTGATCTTAATATATATATATAAAAACATGCTCATTGTTGAAAATATGGAAAAGGATGTACGTTTCCGTAAAAGCTTAAACGAGTGCAACTCTTTAAATGTTTATTTATTTTTATACGATCTGGTATTGTAGTAAGAAACAAGCTGACTTGCTTCATACAGCAAATTATGAGTATGTTTCCTAAAAGAAGCAATATAAAATGTAGCCACAGTGCTGACATTCTGTTAAAAAAATACTTATTTGTCGACTTAGGGGAAGTAAATTATAGAAACAATATGCTACGCTCTAGCAACAAATCTTACCATAAATTTCTACACAAAATATTTATAAAAACTTGGAATTTATAACATTAGCAGCTCTATATAAATCATTTAAACTTTATCATTAATATAAATTATATTATCACATCATGTTGTGGTGTAATATGTACCCATTACGACCTAATCGCTAACTAAAATTCTGCGAAGTTAGGCTAAAGAAGCCTGGTTATTTTTCTTGTATCGTGTCCTTGCGGTCTTCAATAATAAATACGCTAAATAATGAGGGCGTATAAAAAAAGATGGAAAGGTCGACCAAAAATATTTTTTATTCATGCTTTTATTTATACAGAGATAACAGAGTAATTATCTCACATTTTATTATTGAATTTAACAACACATATAGTATATTATTTATCATTGTCTAAGCATTATAAATGTAACGTTGTTTTGACACATTTGTTTCGTTTATGTTAATTAAAACTCAAATAAATATTATGTTTAACCAAAACTGAGAATATTTAATGTGGTCAGAAATAACCTTGTTTACTTCAGGTTTGTACAAACATACATACAGAATATTTTGCTATAGCAAATCTTTACCGACATTTTAACCTAAACCTTACCAAATACTTGTGTTAAGAATGTCTAGAAATGCACTGCATTTGGCAACGTAATTAACTATAAATTAGAATCACTTAATTTTGAATTTCATCTTCTCGATATTATTCCTTAAACTATTGTACAGAATTAAGTCCACATTTAGATTAAGAAATGTTGACTGACGCAAATCACGATTAGCTGAAATAAGAAGCAAGAAAACTTTAAATGAAAAAATTAATTCTTATTTCAGTTGGAGGTAAATCCTACCGTTTTTCATAGTGTGAAATTAGCTTAACGCGCACGTATTCAAAACTTATGTTCCGACGGAAGCAAAAGTTAACTTGTGTAATGTAAGTAAGAATTCTTAATATTTGCACTTCCTTTCCAGAAGTTAATACACGGAAGGAGGCAAGAAAACTTGTATAATGTCAACATTTAATATTGTGCCTGCGTATTAGAAATTTGGTAACAAATTGTGATATAGGGATCTGCTTACACTTGTACGACGAATGGTTTATATGTTCGAATATCTGCTTATGAAACACATTCTTTATTCTTGTGTCAAGCTACTATATATGATCGAAATACAAATCAATAAACTTCATTATTGTAATGAATTTAATTTATGTTTTGTTGAAGACATTGCGTTTTTAGCACCTACCCAGCCAAAGATGTTTTTGAATCTCTAAGCAAATTAAATGGCACAAGTTGAAATGTCTTCGACTTTTGATATGGGTACCATAAATATTTGTTGATAACGCAGATTATTATTCAAATTGATGAAACACTACTTTATATAGAAAAACTTCACATTAACCTTGCTGGATAGATAGGAATTGGCCTTTGAATTATAAATTTGGCTTCAGTAGCAACATCATGAAATCGAATTTGTTTATGTCAAAACGCTCTTCCGGTTGCAACATTAAAGAACATTTTTAATAATTAAATTATAGTATTTTAAGATATTTTGTTAACCGAAATTTATCGTATTCCTAAATAAAGTTTTTTTTTTAGACAGATTTCGTCAATCAATATATCTTTTAAAAAAAATTAACAATATGAAAACAACAACGCAAAAAATCAATCGATATACATTTATTACATGTCTAACTGTTCCATATTCTTCTCATTCACGGAATACAATAATCTAAAAGCTTCACCTCTATTTTTATAACAAAATCATCGGCTTTTACAACGTAATATTTCCAGCAGACACTAATTATTACATTCCTACTTTTTAGTCACTTTATGTGCAAGGAATCACTTACTTCAAGTAACAGTACTTCTGAAAACATTTAATTGGCGAGTTTTTGGCTACTGCGCGGTTTTGCAAAAAGCATAACTTCTCCTTTTTATTACTGTCTCAAAAAGATGTACAAATAATTATAATAATACTGCGCAAATACAACATTGAAACACGATTATTCTTCTAATGGCGTTTATAGCCTAATATGTACAATCATATGATTCAATTGACCGAAAGGTGTGTTGCAAAGGGTGTTTAAAATATATAAAGTAATAATTTCTTTAAGAGCGCCAATGCCGGTGTAAAGAGAAATATATTTGTGCGGGAATAAAAAATGTCAACTTTGTGAATTGAAGTGAAAATGTTTAAATCAGTAACATAGCGAATGTCAACAGATGCGCATGAATAACAAATTTCTTAGAAGCAGTTGGTGTGATGGGATCATGGTGTTTCAATTTTATTTGTACAAAAAACATTCGAATTTGCTCAAGGTAAGTATGCATATAATGCAATTGTTAATTTAGTTGATTTAGAGGAGATTTGAAATTAAAACCACTATTGGCCGCATTAGAGTTTTAGTTAAATAAAAAGGAAGTAAGGTATCTTGTAAATTTGAAGCTGAAACATTATCTTTAATATTGAGACTGGAGCTATTATCTATTTTGTGTCGTAGATTTTCCAACTCTAACACAAATATATGGGTTCCAATACTTCTATGTCTTCTTATGACGACATCTAATCAAATTCATAAATAAGAATATCCAAATAAATATGAAAAATTACGTAGCAACGAAATGGTTACCTCGGACGACTCCGATTCAGAATTCTTCCAAGAAAATTGCACTGCTAGTTGCGGTACCTCCAAAAAAGCAATCTTTAAACAAATTGTCACAAACAACATTCCAGATACAATTCATAAAATTCATCAGGCAGCATATCATAAGGTAGACAAAACGCACATTAAAGTTCCGATTGTAAAAAAACTGAAAGAGAAAACAACAACAAAGAGACCGTCATCAGCAGCTCACCAAGCTGCTCAGGAAGTAAATGCAGTTTTGGAAGAACATGAAAAAAAGCAAAAGCAAGCCGAAATGATGGAAACTATTGTCGATGATATAAGTAAATGTAATGATGACGCTGACTCCATTGGTTCCGCTTCCGATCTAAGGACAGAAGATGACTTCTTCGATGAGAATCATGTAAGTCATATATCCCGAAATAATTGTAAATTAAAACGACCCGATTTGGACGGCGTAAGCGAAAGCGTGAAGACTTGCAGCTCATCCGCATACCATGCCGAATGTGAATCGGTAACGACACACGAAGATGATAGTAGCCGCGTAGTGGTAAAAGTGCGTATGCGAAAAAAAGACAGAAACTCTTGTGCTGCTTCCGCAAATGAAGCCTTAGCTGTTGCATCTGCCCTTTCGGACTTGAGCTGTGAACAAGATGAACATCCTTCAGAATTCCTCAATGCGTTTGGCGATAAACCTCTACTTTTGGATGACGAATTAGACTATGGCTCAGAGGAGACAGACTCTGCCTCCAAATCTATACCAAACGCTCACATCGATACCAACATAAATACATTCGAAGAAAGTAACGCTCTTAAAATTGTTGTTAATTGCAAAGACCAAGACGAACTAGATGTTTTTGCAATGGCACCGTTCAATAAAAAAGAAATTGGGAATATCAAAAAGAAACTACATGGCAAATATAGCTCCAGGAAAAAATCTATTGACACAGTTGCAGGGAATATTCCGGACTCAAGTACGGAAATGTGGACATCGACGCCCATTAAATGTTTTGTTAAAACAAGTGAAAAAGATGGTCCAACCATTGTTTCGGGCCCAGACCAAGTTTTAGACAATTTTAATGAACCTGTCTTTAACCCTTTCGAATATGTTGATAACAAACAACGTAGTAACAACATTCATAAGGAAGTACAAAGCTCATCTCTTTACGGAACAGTAAAAGTCATTTCAAATAATCCTGTTGAACCCTTGAACTCGGTATGCCCTAAAAGCAATTTTTTTGAATCGGATCCATTCATCAGAAGTGCAGAAGAGTGTAGCAAAAAGAAAAATATGAATCTATACAATCCTAAAGTAAATATCTATAAAAGTTCTAATACCACTAAAGAAGTCGGAACGGATCCAACAGCTCAACTTGTAACTGCTAACTCTTCCATTATTATAAATAAAACACCGGAACCATATAACGTGTCTAAGGAGGGCAGCATTGTTACCAGGGCTCTAGCACCACATAGTGGGTTGCCTGTAAATGAGAAAAAAGATCCACCTCCATACGCCAATGTGCCTATATTCCAACCAAATAAGTCTTCACATGTTGAGCTTCCACAAAGGCAAACTGTGGTAAATAGTTCCTTAGGTACGCCAGAACTCCTAACGGGTTGTACTCCATATCCATTGGAAACATGCTATAATGATGATCAAACTATTCTCCCTATAGCAGACAAAACGTTGGTGCAAGTTACAGAAGAACGTATGTCAGGTTTGTTACCAAACCAAGAAGAAGCGATTTTTTCTCCATCTAACGATATTGCTTATGTTGACCCACGGGAATTAAAAAGTTGTACCATTGTTACTACAGCCACATTGCCGGCGACAAAGCAAAATGAGAAAAAGTCTAATTTTGTTGCAAGAACTGTGCCTACAAAATTTTACAAAAAGGTTTCTTCCGATTATTTACATTCGAGTTTTAACACGAAAGATTCAGCTTCAAACGTAAGCGTTATTTCTTCAAAGCAAAAGCATCAGCGTTCTCCAAAGTATAAAGCACATACCAATGAGTGTGACGATGATGGAACAGGGAACATAATTCCAAACATCACTGCAAATTTACAAAAGAATACGCTTTCTTCTTCAGCTATTCCCTTTAATCCAGCTTCAAATTCGGCTAAGACGGGCTTTAGTAATATGTCATTTGAGGATTTTCCATCTGATAATGAAACAGAAGGAACGCCCACAAAAACTGCCCTGCCATTTGAAGTTCTGCGCCAAAACAAAATTTCTCTGGATGCAGACAAAAATTTGGTTCTCTAAAGCGACGTAGTAATTTGTTTTCCTAGAAAACTGCTACATGTTTCAGCTTATGATCACAGAAACCCTCATAAAATCTAAAAACACAAACATTAGATATAACATTCCAAACGGCCTTAATACCATTGCATACTTTAACATTTTCTGTTGATCTTAATATATATATATAAAAACATGCTCATTGTTGAAAATATGGAAAAGGATGTACGTTTCCGTAAAAGCTTAAACGAGTGCAACTCTTTAAATGTTTATTTATTTTTATACGATCTGGTATTGTAGTAAGAAACAAGCTGACTTGCTTCATACAGCAAATTATGAGTATGTTTCCTAAAAGAAGCAATATAAAATGTAGCCACAGTGCTGACATTCTGTTAAAAAAATACTTATTTGTCGACTTAGGGGAAGTAAATTATAGAAACAATATGCTACGCTCTAGCAACAAATCTTACCATAAATTTCTACACAAAATATTTATAAAAACTTGGAATTTATAACATTAGCAGCTCTATATAAATCATTTAAACTTTATCATTAATATAAATTATATTATCACATCATGTTGTGGTGTAATATGTACCCATTACGACCTAATCGCTAACTAAAATTCTGCGAAGTTAGGCTAAAGAAGCCTGGCACCTTTTGATGGAATTTAATAAAGTTATTTTTCTTGTATCGTGTCCTTGCGGTCTTCAATAATAAATACGCTAAATAATGAGGGCGTATAAAAAAAGATGGAAAGGTCGACCAAAAATATTTTTTATTCATGCTTTTATTTATACAGAGATAACAGAGTAATTATCTCACATTTTATTATTGAATTTAACAACACATATAGTATATTATTTATCATTGTCTAAGCATTATAAATGTAACGTTGTTTTGACACATTTGTTTCGTTTATGTTAATTAAAACTCAAATAAATATTATGTTTAACCAAAACTGAGAATATTTAATGTGGTCAGAAATAACCTTGTTTACTTCAGGTTTGTACAAACATACATACAGAATATTTTGCTATAGCAAATCTTTACCGACATTTTAACCTAAACCTTACCAAATACTTGTGTTAAGAATGTCTAGAAATGCACTGCATTTGGCAACGTAATTAACTATAAATTAGAATCACTTAATTTTGAATTTCATCTTCTCGATATTATTCCTTAAACTATTGTACAGAATTAAGTCCACATTTAGATTAAGAAATGTTGACTGACGCAAATCACGATTAGCTGAAATAAGAAGCAAGAAAACTTTAAATGAAAAAATTAATTCTTATTTCAGTTGGAGGTAAATCCTACCGTTTTTCATAGTGTGAAATTAGCTTAACGCGCACGTATTCAAAACTTATGTTCCGACGGAAGCAAAAGTTAACTTGTGTAATGTAAGTAAGAATTCTTAATATTTGCACTTCCTTTCCAGAAGTTAATACACGGAAGGAGGCAAGAAAACTTGTATAATGTCAACATTTAATATTGTGCCTGCGTATTAGAAATTTGGTAACAAATTGTGATATAGGGATCTGCTTACACTTGTACGACGAATGGTTTATATGTTCGAATATCTGCTTATGAAACACATTCTTTATTCTTGTGTCAAGCTACTATATATGATCGAAATACAAATCAATAAACTTCATTATTGTAATGAATTTAATTTATGTTTTGTTGAAGACATTGCGTTTTTAGCACCTACCCAGCCAAAGATGTTTTTGAATCTCTAAGCAAATTAAATGGCACAAGTTGAAATGTCTTCGACTTTTGATATGGGTACCATAAATATTTGTTGATAACGCAGATTATTATTCAAATTGATGAAACACTACTTTATATAGAAAAACTTCACATTAACCTTGCTGGATAGATAGGAATTGGCCTTTGAATTATAAATTTGGCTTCAGTAGCAACATCATGAAATCGAATTTGTTTATGTCAAAACGCTCTTCCGGTTGCAACATTAAAGAACATTTTTAATAATTAAATTATAGTATTTTAAGATATTTTGTTAACCGAAATTTATCGTATTCCTAAATAAAGTTTTTTTTTTAGACAGATTTCGTCAATCAATATATCTTTTAAAAAAAATTAACAATATGAAAACAACAACGCAAAAAATCAATCGATATACATTTATTACATGTCTAACTGTTCCATATTCTTCTCATTCACGGAATACAATAATCTAAAAGCTTCACCTCTATTTTTATAACAAAATCATCGGCTTTTACAACGTAATATTTCCAGCAGACACTAATTATTACATTCCTACTTTTAGTCACTTTATGTGCAAGGAATCACTTACTTCAAGTAACAGTACTTCTGAAAACATTTAATTGGCGAGTTTTTGGCTACTGCGCGGTTTTGCAAAAAGCATAACTTCTCCTTTTTATTACTGTCTCAAAAAGATGTACAAATAATTATAATAATACTGCGCAAATACAACATTGAAACACGATTATTCTTCTAATGGCGTTTATAGCCTAATATGTACAATCATATGATTCAATTGACCGAAAGGTGTGTTGCAAAGGGTGTTTAAAATATATAAAGTAATAATTTCTTTAAGAGCGCCAATGCCGGTGTAAAGAGAAATATATTTGTGCGGGAATAAAAAATGTCAACTTTGTGAATTGAAGTGAAAATGTTTAAATCAGTAACATAGCGAACGTCAACAGATGCGCATGAATAACAAATTTCTTAGAAGCAGTTGGTGTGATGGGATCATGGTGTTTCAATTTTATTTGTACAAAAAACATTCGAATTTGCTCAAGGTAAGTATGCATATAATGCAATTGTTAATTTAGTTGATTTAGAGGAGATTTGAAATTAAAACCACTATTGGCCGCATTAGAGTTTTAGTTAAATAAAAAGGAAGTAAGGTATCTTGTAATTTGAAGCTGAAACATTATCTTAATATTGAGACTGGAGCTATTATCTATTTTGTGTCGTAGATTTTCCAACTCTAACACAATATATGGGTTCCAATACTTCTATGTCTTCTTATGACGACATCTAATCAAATTCATAAATAAGAATATCCAAATAAATATGAAAAATTACGTAGCAACGAAATGGTTACCTCGGACGACTCCGATTCAGAATTCTTCCAAGAAAATTGCACTGCTAGTTGCGGTACCTCCAAAAAAGCAATCTTTAAACAAATTGTCACAAACAACATTCCAGATACAATTCATAAAATTCATCAGGCAGCATATCATAAGGTAGACAAAACGCACATTAAAGTTCCGATTGTAAAAAAACTGAAAGAGAAAACAACAACAAAGAGACCGTCATCAGCAGCTCACCAAGCTGCTCAGGAAGTAAATGCAGTTTTGGAAGAACATGAAAAACAGCAAAAGCAAGCCGAAATGATGGAAACTATTGTCGATGATATAAGTAAATGTAATGATGACGCTGACTCCATTGGTTCCGCTTCCGATCTAAGGACAGAAGATGACTTCTTCGATGAGAATCATGTAAGTCATATATCCCGAAATAATTGTAAATTAAACGACCCGATTTGGACGGCGTAAGCGAAAGCGTGAAGACTTGCAGCTCATCCGCATACCATGCCGAATGTGAATCGGTAACGACACACGAAGATGATAGTAGCCGCGTAGTGGTAAAAGTGCGTATGCGAAAAAAAGACAGAAACTCTTGTGCTGCTTCCGCAAATGAAGCCTTAGCTGTTGCATCTGCCCTTTCGGACTTGAGCTGTGAACAAGATGAACATCCTTCAGAATTCCTCAATGCGTTTGGCGATAAACCTCTACTTTTGGATGACGAATTAGACTATGGCTCAGAGGAGACAGACTCTGCCTCCAAATCTATACCAAACGCTCACATCGATACCAACATAAATACATTCGAAGAAAGTAACGCTCTTAAAATTGTTGTTAATTGCAAAGACCAAGACGAACTAGATGTTTTGCAATGGCACCGTTCAATAAAAAAGAAATTGGGAATATCAAAAAGAAACTACATGGCAAATATAGCTCCAGGAAAAAATCTATTGACACAGTTGCAGGGAATATTCCGGACTCAAGTACGGAAATGTGGACATCGACGCCCATAAATGTTTTGTTTAAAACAAGTGAAAAAGATGGTCCAACCATTGTTTCGGGCCCAGACCAAGTTTTAGACAATTTTAATGAACCTGTCTTTAACCCTTTCGAATATGTTGATAACAAACAACGTAGTAACAACATTCATAAGGAAGTACAAAGCTCATCCCTTTACGGAACAGTAAAAGTCATTTCAAATAATCCTGTTGAACCCTTGAACTCGGTATGCCCTAAAAGCAATTTTTTTGAATCGGATCCATTCATCAGAAGTGCAGAAGAGTGTAGCAAAAAGAAAAATATGAATCTATACAATCCTAAAGTAAATATCTATAAAAGTTCTAATACCACTAAAGAAGTCGGAACGGATCCAACAGCTCAACTTGTAACTGTTAATTCTTCCATTATTATAAATAAACACCAGAACCATATAACGTGTCTAAGGAGGGCAGCATTGTTACCAGGGCTCTAGCACCACATAGTGGGTTGCCTGTAAATGAGAAAAAAGATCCACCTCCATACGCCAATTGCCTATATCCAACCAAATAAGTCTTCACATGTTGAGCTTCCACAAAGGCAAACTGTGGTAAATAGTTTCCTTAGGTACGCCAGAACTCCTAACGGGTTGTACTCCATATCCATTGGAAACATGCTATAATGATGATCAAACTATTCTCCCTATAGCAAGACAAAACGTTGGTGCAAGTTACAGAAGAACGTATGTCAGGTTTGTTACCAAACCAGAAGAACGATTTTTTCTCCATCTAACGATATTGCTTATGTTGACCCACGGGAATTAAAAAGTTGTACCATTGTTACTACAGCCACATTGCCGGCGACAAAGCAAAATGAGGAAAAAGTCTAATTTTGTTGCAAGAACTGTGCCTACAAAATTTTACAAAAAGGTTTCTTCCGATTATTTACATTCGAGTTTTAAACACGAAAGATTCAGCTTCAAACGTAAGCGTTATTTCTTCAAAGCAAAAGCATCAGCGTTCTCCAAAGTATAAAGCACATACCAATGAGTGTGACGATGATGGAACAGGGACATAATTCCAAACATCACTGCAAATTTACAAAAGAATACGCTTTCTTCTTCAGCTATTCCCTTAATCCAGCTTCAAATTCGGCTAAGACGGGCTTTAGTAATATGTCATTTGAGGATTTTCCATCTGATAATGAAACAGAAGGAACGCCCACAAAAACTGCCCTGCCATTTGAAGTTCTGCGCCAAAACAAAATTTCTCTGGATGCAGACAAAAAATTTGGTCTCTAAAGCGACGTAGTAATTTGTTTTCCTAGAAAACTGCTACATGTTTCAGCTTATGATCACAGAAACCCTCATAAAATCTAAAAACACAAACATTAGATATAACATTCCAAACGGCCTTAATACCATTGCATACTTTAACATTTTCTGTTGATCTTAATATATATATATAAAAACATGCTCATTGTTGAAATATGGAAAAGGATGTACGTTTCCGTAAAGCTTAACGAGTGCAACTCTTTAAATGTTTTATTTATTTTAGACGATCTGGTATTGTAGTAAGAAACGCTGACTTGCTTCAACAGCAAATTATGAGTATGTTTCCTAAAAGAACAATAAAAATGTAGCCACAGTGCTGACATTCTGTTAAAAAAATACTTATTTGTCGACTTAGGGGAAGTAAATTATAGAAACATATGCTACCTCTAGCAACAAATCTTACCATAAATTTCTACACAAAATATTTATAAAAACTTGGAATTTATAACATTAGCAGCTCTATATAATCATTTAAACTTTATCATTAATATAAATTATATTATCACATCATGTTGTGTGTAATATGTACCCATTACGACCTAATCGCTAACTAAAATTCTGCGAAGTTAGGCT